GAAAAATTAGGTGTCTATTTACTTGTGACCACTCATTGTATATATATCAATAAATAAAAAAGATACACACAAAAATAAGAAATTTAGCACTTCAGGATTGAAGCCTTTTGTTTTCTGAAGACAGTCTTCATTAACCCTTTTTTTTTTAAGTTGGTTGTCCAAGAAACAATTCATGTAGTTTTCAAGTATGCATTTTAGTATATAAATACAAATTCAAACAATAAAGATAATGCCCCCAAAGTACTATAATTTATCTGGCTTTTTAACTGAATTTAAAAAAAGTTTAGAAAATTGCTTTACTTACATGAGCACCAACTTTGGTCTTCACCCAATAAAAGCTGCTTCGGAAATGGAGCATTTTACAGAAATAAATTAACATGAGAATGTCATAACCACGTGGTTCACAACTTACAAGTTAGCATGAGTAAATAAATAGTTTCAAAAGCATGTAGAATTGGGAGAAGTTACTGTGATGAGTGTAACACATTTATTAATATTTCGGAAAATATAGAAGGTGAAAGGTTCTGTCTTGCCAATACCTGTAGATAGTATAGATTAGTGGTATGACATAACACATATATAAGTGAAGATTGAGAACTTATTCACATATTTCCTTTTTAAATTAAGAAATTAAAACTTAAATAATATTAGAATTTGAATTATAAACTATGTTTTGAAGCCAAGTTTATTGATAATATAGTTATTTAATTAAAGAGTTTCACTAGATCATATATGGTATTGCATGGAACCATGTACATTCAATTAAAAAAGAAATGATTATTTTTGGAAAGAAAATGTTATTCTTAATACAAAAGTGTATTAATTAAATAACGAAAAATTAATTTATAAAGTAATTAGAAGTATTTAGAGGAAAGGTATACAATTAATACATACATATATATATATATATATAAATCTGAATGCATTCCTTTTTTCAAACTAGTCTTTATTTACACGATTTTTGTAAACAAAGAGAAGTTTGATAAAAGAGAAAGGATTTAAGTTTTCTTATACATATTCAACCAGAAGTGAAACCACCTTTAATTACAATTTATACATAAATTCATTCATATCCACAAATATTAGTGATGGAATTTAATAAAGAAAATTCAGAGAGACCATCTAGTGTTTCTATTGTTTTATGGTTTTTGTTTATGAAAAAAAAAGGCCTTTTTGTATTTTTTGGCTAGAAAATAATTACCACCACCTAATATTTTCCCAGACAAGTAGGTGGTGATAGAGTCTCTTTACCTATATTTTTGCAGCATGAGATTTGTGATTATACTTTTACCTGACTTATCATCTGATCTCAGCAAAATGCTGTTTTATTTGAAGATGTAGCGCCTTTAAAGTTTGATCTATGTATATCTTTGAACAGATTACACAGAATGTTTGGTAAACAACAGTAGAGATGTTGCATTTTCTGGCCAGAGTTCATCAAAGAAAAGTAGTCTTTGTTCTATGTTTTTTATACACAACAATTATGTTGTAAAATGAAATTATGTAAAAACTGACTTTTTGAACCAACATTTTCCTTGAATAGCCTAAGTTTACATATACCATTAGCTAAAGGAATGGTCTTGGAGAAATCAGCACGTAAGTTTTTAAGCCTACTAAGACTGTGTTTATTGGACAGTATCATCATTCTTAAAAGTTTAGATTTATTGAAGATGCTGGCTTACATCTGACATAAGTTGTACTAGGACAAGCTTATTATATACATTCTTTGTTCATAATCCTAGGAACTTCTGAAGCTGTTCACAGAAACAGATTCATTTTACTACTCTTTAACGGCAGACCTGACCAACTCTTTGCAACGTCAGCAAACACTGAAGGATGCTTTAGAAACAGAAAACTCCCCCATGTGGTGTCAAGTTGATGACCGTTTTTTTTGGAATAAGCACATGTTGCAAGAACTGACAGAATCTGAGGTACTTGATAGCAGCTATGTGCTTAGATTATTTTTATTTCTTACACTAGAAAAGTTGGTAAAGTATTTTGAAAAATAATTTTGCACTTCATATAAAGATTAAACCCCTGTTCTAGGTTATTGTGATTTGTTTAATCTGATTCCTTGCTATAATGGCTTTATAAAAATAACCAAATACAGGAATTACTGTGGAACATGTAAAAATTTCAAAACAGGTCTACGTTATTAGTGTCCGTATATATTTTATGTTTCATTCTTATTCTACCATAATACTTGTGTCTTCTACACTAGGCATTCAGTACATTGTATACTAGCAATGCAACCATTAAACATACCCCCCTGTACTGATCAAATGCACAGAAGGAGCTGCTATGTATAACTTTTTTTTTAATATAACAATTTTTGTTTAAGTAATGGGCTTTAAACAAATCAAAACATTAAATTTTCCATCTAAGTAGCATTTAATGTGTAACTACTATTCATACATTGCCAAACGATTTTTGTTAACAAGATAAACAAAAATCTGCCACTGCTAGAATGTTGTCTGATGAACCTTAAAATGTTTAGAACTGTTTTCAAATTCATGGCTAGCAAATGAACCTTTGAACACAGCCCTACATACTAGGACTAAGAATAGCCAGTGATTTATTACTTTGTTTACTAGTCAGAGAGAACCAAAACAATATTAATTTCTTACTCTGGGTTTTAGACAAAATCTGACTGTCAATCAGAAAGACCAATACATAGTTGGCTTAGTATTCGAGAAATCTCTGGTGGGTAATTTTGGTTTTAATTGATGTGAAATACTATATTCCCAAAGCATGATTTTTACAGTGACAAAATGTATAATGTAATTTTATAGTTTTTCTTTTTTTAATTATCAAACAATTTGCATAATTATAAAATAATTTGAAATAGACATTCAATACATTGATGTATTGAAGCAAGCTTTTCATGCTTTTCAAACTTAATTACAATTTAAAATTGATTGAAAGCTTGCTTCCTTCATTATTAAGTCTGGATGTAGTACATCATTTTGATAAGAAATTTGGTGGAAATTATGTGAAACAACTATGACAGTTTTATTGAAATGCATCCCAGAAACATTAAACATTTTGCATAAATGATTGAAAGTGCTTATGTTTGTTAAGATTGTGTATATATATAATTTTCTTCTTTTTAACTTTGAATGTAGAATCCTGCAGCAGGGCATTGGATATTACCTATGATTCAAGGTTTTGTATACATCCAGCATTGTGTGATCAATATGTCTGAAGAAGAAGACATTACTCCTGTAAATAATAATTCAAGTGGTTTCACTGAGTTGCAAAGTCCTGATGATGAGGATAAACTACAGAAAACATATAACTTAATACTCATTTCCCGACGAAGCAGATTTCGAGCAGGGACTCGCTACAAAAGACGGGGAGTGGATGAACTGGGACACTGTGCTAATTACGTGGAAACAGAGCAAATTATTCATTATGGATCTCACATAGTCTCATTTGTGCAAGTGCGTGGATCAATTCCTGTATTCTGGAGACAACTTGGGTACAAGTATAGGCCTCCACCTCAGCTGGATAGAGGTAAGTCTTCTCATACACCCTGATAGTTGTGAATATCTTTTTTAAAAACATCATGTTTAACTATAAAATAATCTTCTGTTTCTGCTGCTTTGCTTCTGTCTTGTTGTTTATCTGTGTCATTAAAACACATTTTTAAAATTCTATGTAGCTACTGTCAACAGTCTGGTATGATTCATGGTGATTTATGAAGAGTGGGTAAAATAAGAAAAGCATATAGTTAAAAAAAAAGTTACTTGATAATATTATGTAATGTTAGAAAATTTCACAAAATGCTGATCATGAATACATGTACTTTAAAAAGCATTTGAGAAAGTGCAAATTTCACAAGGTTTATGGAAAAATATTAATTTTCTTATAATTTTACCATTTGAAAAAATAGTTGGTATAAACTTGTGATTTTTTTCAAATGAATAATGATTGCATTTAATATTTTCAGTATAATGAGTTTTTTTTTTAAGTTTATGAATAATAAATTCAACCATAACACCCCAGTTAAGTGGTTATTTGTTAGGTGGGAAAAGTTAATAACTTGTTGGTGAAAATGTCTATGGATGCTTTTTAAGACATTAACGTTATAGTAGATGGGACATAATCACGACTTTTTATTTCACAATTAAATGGTAATATCTAAATGCTAACCATCATTTTTGTTTTTGAAAAATGTTAGCTTCATATTTATTATCGTGTATAGTGTATAAAGTGACATAAAAATTAAATGATATAGTTGGAGACAATATTTATTTTTTTATTTAAATGGTTTGAGAAAAGTTAACTGGGTGGCTTTAACAGAAATATTTAAAACTAATGTCATCATTTTGTGTTACAAGTTATTATTATATTGCACTTTTCCTGCGGGCTATTCATTTTCTTTTTTTCTTTCATTACTTAGGCGAAGAAGAGACCCAAGAAGCTTTTGCAAAGCACTTTAACCAAGAACTCTCAATATATAATAATGCAGTGGTCATAAACCTAGCAGAGCAAACTGGAAAAGAAAAAGTTGTTGGTGATGCTTACTTAAACCACATTCTTTTGTATGACTCTCCTGACATAACATATATTTCATTTGATTTCCATGAATACTGGTAAGAGCTGGGTAGACTCAGCTGTGACTTATATCATCATTACTGAATCTAAAAGCATGGCGTGAAACCTGTATTGAATGTGAGACATAATAGAATGGAAAAGTAGCAAATGTCAGGTTAATCACTTTTTTTTGTAATATATTAGATTTTCTCGTCTAATTTAAATTCTTTTCAGTTTTTCTTATTTTTAACGTGGAAATTTTTTTGTTTTTCATTGTAAATGTATATAAGCAAAAAAAAAACTGTACATCAAGATAAATGTTATTCATTCTGAACTTCACTTAGTTAAAAATCAGTGATTTTGTATTAACGTTTTTAGACTTTATAAAACCATTTAACTATATATATAAAAAGTATTGTACAATAATTTAATTTTTTGTACTCAAACGTATGTATTCATGTCAGTGATTGCTGTTCTTATATTCTGTAATGCAGCTCTTAGTTTGAATAACTACTGCCTTTCTTGGGGCATGTTCTCAACTACATTGTGATGTGTCTGGTAATACTGAAGGATGTTCATGATTTTTAGTAATGAAACAAAGATGAGTTCTTAGGCCTTACAGCCTCTTTTTCCCCCCACTGAGGTTCTTTGGGAAAGCTTTTGCTATGAATTGTTCTACAGCACAATTTCCAAAGCAAGAGGTTTTATACAATACATGGAAGTCAGTGTTGCCCACACCACACACACACACACAATAATTTTCTTTTTATGATTTATAAAGCTCATCAACAGTGCATAAATGATGACTTCCAAGGATCTGTTTGTGCAATCCAAAGCCATAGGCATCTATGGGATATCTTTACAAATGGTATAGCATGAATTCATATTTGGTCTTGCATCTTAGGACCCTGTGAAGTAATTGGTATGTTTACTTTTGTTATGAACACACCTTGAGCTCCAGTAAAAGGTAAAGTTGAGTAACTTTAATGTTCCTCACTGTGTCCAAACTGAGATAGATAAAAAGTAAAACTTTTTTACACATGAACTAAGGAAGTATAAAATGTATTGTTCTCATACTACAGTTTCATGAACAGAATAATCATAAATTGCCCAGAATTTTACAGATACTTAAGTAGATACATGCATTGTCCAATTTAATGACATATTTCTATTTGGCACATGCCAAAGACTGCTTATGCATTTTTTGCAGTTAGTCTTCTGTTTGGCTACATGATTTGGAAGAAGTTTGTAAGAACAGTTTTTGTGTCTAAATCTTTGTGAATAATCTCATTTACAATTACATGTTGGGTTCAACTGCAGTGTACCGTTGTGTTCACGAGTTACTTCTTTTTGATAAAACCAACTTTATTTATATACGTCTGTATGTGTAGCTGGTCATAGAGTACTTCTTTTACCGTGTTGGAATCATTCATCTCCTTGCTTTGGCAATACATTACAACATTACAGTTATCCCTTTCTTCAAAATGCTAAAATTTTGTACTTTGGAAGGTTTTATAATTATAATAGGAGAGCTTCACCCAAGAAAGTTCTGTAAAATAACTCTTCCAGAAAAGGTCAATTTGAGCCACCATTTGCACTTTCAAATCACCACACTTTAACTGAATTGCAGAAAGAAGGACAGATTTGTTTAATTCTGTGTAGTCACAGGCCCAGTGATAACCAGGCACAAGGCAACTGGGAATGCAAACTGTTAAATAAATCATTAATAACCCTCTGTGCTTGTTTGCATGATTGTTTCAAAAGCTTGATCAATGATGAAGATTAGAAGGGTGTGATTTAAATTTTGAATTAATCTTTTCAGGTAGTCCCAACAATTATTCTAAAGGCTTAAGATCTGGTACTTTTTGGTGGGATAATTTGAGAGTTTGATCATTTCAATTTGAAATCAGTTCTGAGTCATACATGCTTCATGGAAAGAAACATTATCTTGCTTAAGTGATCTGTTAACCAAAGATATTTGCCATCGCCTGAGATACTTGTTCATTTAAGACTTAGACGTGCAGTCACTGCACAGATATCGGTCTTGTGCCTAACGTCCAGAATATAATCTTTGCCGTAATACTACTACCACAGCTCTTCATATTTCACAGATCACTGTTTTGATCAAATTGTTCACTTCTTTGTCATTACTTCAAATCTTTTTGAAATGGCTCTTATACTCCAAAAACAATTGTAACCAATCATTAAATTTCATGGGCTTTACATCAAACTAGTCTGTGCCAAATATTTTGGGAGGTGGTATACACGTATTCATATCCCATCCTTTAATAAATACTAACATTCATAAAGAGCATGCTGCATAGACCTCACACATAGTAAGCACTTCCTTTATGAGGCTCCAGTAAAGTCATTGTGAATAATTTATTGCTAAGGGGCTTTTTCATAATCCCAATAAATGAGTATTTGTCACATTCGTAAATTTGTTTTTCTTATGTTATACTATTAATTTCAAAATAAAGTTGAATTGTCTTGTGTGTAACCAAGCATTGTATTCACTTTTCATAATGATTTTCCAGCTTTCTATCACTTTAAAAATTCCCATCTTTCTCAAATTTGTGTATTTCACAATATTTTAGCATCATACACACTTTGATAATTGTACCTGTATGTGTATGAAATATACTTGCCAAATTCTATTGCAGATTGTGAGAAGAGTAAGCCAAGACACATATTCAAGTTGGCATTCATATACTTTTTGGCAGGACAGTGTATATTTATCAATTACTTTGAGCATGATGGAAAAAAGGTTAACTGCTTTAGATTCTGGGGAGTAGTCATATCTTGTATGCAAAAGTTATTCATCATTACACAAATAAAACATTAATATCATACCAAATGTAGAAAAAACTAAAAACTTAAATTGTGATTAAGTGCATACATAAGACAGTCTCTGAAATTCACCTTTATCAATATAGAGAAATATATTCTAAGTTATGAGAAAACAATTCTTTTTAATGTATTTTGGTATTTTAAAGTTCATAACTTTTTTTTCAGTCGAGGAATGAAATTTGAAAATGTGTCAGTTCTGATTGCCAGTATTGAAGATATTATCAAGGACATGAGATATTACTGGTATAGTAATCTTACCATTTACATACATTTATTGTATTTATATATATCACACTGTAATGGTTTTCAATCTTATATTTTTCTTCTTATCAGTCAAAAGGTATGTTAGAGTGTAATTTAGAAATGATTTCAGTGGTTGCTGACTTTTATTCATTTGATCTCTTCAGTCATATTAATTGTTTTCAGCAGAAATGTTATTGTTACAGTCAAAACTATTTCTTTTTTTTTTTGAAACAAGTATTCTTATTTGAGTTATCTCAACGACTACTGGCTTCTAATTTTATTAGTAGGTAATTTTGCTCTTCTCATATATTGTTCCAAAAATAAAACCAGTGGATGAAATTGTTTAAAAGTTGACAAGAACTTTCCTAAAAAGTCTGTAGCTTAAGAAAAATTAAATATTTTATTTTTTTTACTATTTCTAATAAAAAAATTTGCTATTTAATCTAGTTATTTACACTCAGACTTTGAATATTTTGCTGGCAAGGTGATTTTTATATGAAGTATTTATTACCTTACAGTTTTCACATTTTATATGCATAATCTCTAGAACCTCCTAAATAAATACTGAAAGTTTTTTAAGGTAAATGTTTATATTTTATTTTCCATTTTCTCTACTATATCACTAACTCTACCTGTTATCATCAAAGTACAGTGCAATGAAATATTTAAAATTAAGAAATGGAAATATGTACAAGTCTCTTGAAACTTGTTTTTTTGAATATGCATAATTTTACATCTTTATCTTTTCACTTATAGTTTATTTTTCATTTTCCTTTCCAATTCTTTGTCTTTTATTATTCATGTCGATACGTCACCTGGTGCCCATGGTTTTTTTATTATTGTTATATGGCTACTCCTGTACAGAGACTTGTTTCAGTAACACTTTCACAATCCAGGTGACAACAAGTTAAACTTATAAAAATTGTTAACCTTTTCAAATATGATATTTAAAACACAAATAATACATAACTAAAATATAAAAGTAAGACCTAAATACAATTTAACTGTCTCTCTAACTATAGCATATTTAGGTAAGAAACCACTGTAAGTGCTATCGTCAATCAAGCAGACAACAAACTAATGAGAGTTAAATGTACACTATGAGGAAACCTGTGGGCCAATTTCAAATAAACCTTTGAAATATAGTATAGTGTAAGCTGAGCTTTTTCTAATGACTATATACACTCATGTCAATGAACTACATGTACATTGTAGATCTCAAGGCAAACTATAGAAGGTGGGTATGGCACCTGTCAAGGGTTGAAACATTTTTATCAGTTTTCCAAAGAAAGGAGCTACAGACTTTGCATCTCACATGTCAAATAGGTCAAACACATTGTACTTAGCATCTAGATACTCATGTACAGTGCCAGTTTATGTAGCTAAGCATGAACTGCTGCTAAAGTAGAGATTTTTTTCATAGTGAGTGGATCATGTGACACAAAAACTGCATATTAAGTAGTTTTTAAAAAGTTTTCTTTGAAGCAAAGAAATTATAATTTATATAACATAAAAACACAAATTATAACATGCATTATAATGTTAATTTCATTGATATATATATATATATATATATTGATAGTAAAGTGTTTTACATCATTTTTGAATGTAATGCAGTACCATATATAGAAAGGAATTTCCAAATGATGCTGGGGCCCATAGAGTTAACTCACTCACTACAGATAGGTCAAAGTGTGCATGTCAGAACCTTTTGCAGTGTTAAATTCAAAATTTAATTAATTTACTATTAAATTATCAATGGATATGAATAAACTTGCCATCAAAACATAGTTAATAAATAAACTTTTAATATTTTATGTGGATTAAATTCCTAATTTTATAAGGAAATATTTTAAAAAAACTCAATCTCACCTAGTATTAGAATTGTGACACTTATTCTCTAGATCTTCTCCCCCTTCTCTTAGTTATTTACCAGCCCTCTCTGAAGTGCATAATTTAATGTAAATTGGTCATTATAATATAGGTATTACTAAGGCAAAGTGTAATTTTTACAGCCTTCAATCTTATTTGTTTATGGAGCCATAAACTAGAAAAAACAGACCCATTTACTACACCCACCTGTCACTTCCTGTCTTTCACAAATTTTCAATAATTCTCTTTTACAGTATATACTATATCATTTATAAGAAATAGAAAGGCAAAGTTTAAATCCATCGAATGATGTATAGTGCTACCTTGTTTTTGGTACAAAGTATATCAGTTTTGTCTTAAGTTTGAAAGTTTATCTCGTGGTGTGCAGATTAAGCTGCAAAGAGAATTAATTTAATCTTCTCTTATCTTAGTTAGAAAGCCAGTTAAATTATGATAGTTATAGAACATTGTGTGCTTTGTGGGTGTTGTTATTCTGTGTCCTTATGTGGATTACTTAAGTAAATAAACATAATATAGTGTACTGCCATCATTATAAAAAAATGTAGGGTTACATTTCATTGAAACCCGAGAGCAAAAAAAACGAGGTCAAAGTAAATACTATATATTTTTTGTATTTCATGTGTATTCTTTATGTATTGTTATAAAAGTAACTAAAATGTAAAAATTATAAATTTATTAGGTAAGATAATGAAAAAAAAATTATTCACAGGATATGCTTGCAAGCAGCTCATGTGAGACATTATTCAATAAAGAAACATGAGCTATGCATTCTGTAAATGGTTTACAACTTGTCTGGTGGGATTATTAATTAGATGTGGAGCTGAGGGCAGTAAAACAAAATTAAATATAAACAGATGTAGACTCTTATGTGCTTTAAGCTATTTTGGATAAATAATTATAGTTTTCTGTTACAATCTGCAGTCATTCTTTAAAAAAAAAGGGTAATTTAAATTTATTTCTGACTTTTTATGGGTGTTCCAAGATTGGTCAACTCAACTGAGTCTGTATAGAGTTAGGGTAGATAACAGATAAAATATAAAGTTTTACTGAAAAAAAAACATTTGATATTTATTTAGGATGTTTTAGATGTTACATAAATGAAACTTGAAAATTTCCAGATAAAGAAAAGTATTTTTAATCATGGCATGAAAATCATTTTGTACTCGAAATAATCAACACTCCAACTCCATATGTTCATGGAGAAATCTTTAGTAAAAAATACTTGATTAAAAAATCTGATTTTTTTTTATACAAAAGACTTATAATGTATACTGAAAGCTTGCCAAATTTTGTGAATATATATAAAACATATTGAAAGTTTTAATATGAGAACTGATGGTTACTTTGTGGTTAGGTAATATTTTTGTAAATTTTCACTAAACTTGAAAACAAAAATCCTTCTGTCTATGTTTCATGTTAAAATTCATTGTGAGAAAATACAAGTTTTAGAAAATCAAGAGATGTTTTTCCCAACATAAACTCAAAAGTTTTAAGTATTTTTTTATAAAAACAATTTTTAAGTGTATGGTTACATCATTTGTTGTTTTACAGTATGTTTTTCCTTTTGAACTATTTTCTTTCTCTTTTTATTAAAAAGTAATGTATTTTACTGGTCATGAAGGTATAAGATTCTAAGAACTTGTAAACACTCTTTCCAAAAAAAAGTAACTGTAAGACTAGCTATATTTTTTTTTTTTTCTAAAATATAAATACAAGAGTGTACAATTCTGGCACTGCTTTTTGAAGTAATTTATTTCTTTTGTTTTTAGGGTTGACAATCATGGTCTCATTTGTAATCAGACAGGAACATTCCGAATAAATTGTATTGACTGCCTCGATCGAACAAACATTGTACAGACTGCAATAGCCAAGGCAGTGATGGATACACAGGTAGATCTGAATTTTAGTTCAACTTGTTGGAATGTCCTAATGTCTCTTATAGTATTTCCTCTGAAATATTCATGTTTCATATGAAATTTTTTCTAAATATAGTTAATTTGACTTAACCAGTAGTTATGGACTGTGTTTGATAATCGACTATTCATGTTGAAGTAACAATGCAAAATATTTAATCTTTCTCAAAATAAAACTATGTGTGTATGTTCAGTCTCAACAGTAAACTAAAGAAGTAGTTCATAACTTTATAGGATGTTCCTGAAGATTCTTTACATTATCACCAGCTTGATGTATCTAAACTTTGGAACCTTTAACAAAATCACTAATATTGTATTATTGAGAGGTTAAGTGTTACGTAATTAGCAAGTGAATGGCATTATTGCAGTACTGTAGTTAATTTGTTGTTATTTCATTTATAGTAAAACTGGAACTTATTATTTATGTTGTGAAATAGATTTTAAGGTTTGATACATTGGTCTAGTTTCTAAGACTTGGACTGTTGAGACCGGAAGGAAAACTACCTACCAGTTGTCGTCGAGCTTTTCAGGTGATGTGGGCCAACAATGGGGATATAATCAGTCGACAATATGCAGGTACTGCAGCTTTAAAGGTCAGTTATTCACTCATAAAGCAGTGTTTGTCTCTTCTTTAGGCTGTAGTAGAAAACATTAATAACAAAGAGCACCATAAAAACATATAAACTTAGGCATCGGAGAATCACATAATTTAGAATTGTTTTGTTATTGCTGTTTTTCATAATAAAAAATTATAGTTAAGGTTCGTCTAAAAGTGTGGTATTGTTGTGAAGCAAAGAACACCGTTAAATCAGGTAGTCATGATCAATCAGGATATTACAAAGTAAATCCAAAGAGACAGAACATATGTGATGTTATATAATAATTGCCAAATTCTTTCTGTATGTATTTTGCACCTCTGAAATAGTAAGCAATAGCTTACATCTATTTTTTGAAAGTAGAAAAATCCATACTTTGTGTTTTAAATACTTGGATCACTGCATCATAAGCTAAATATGTTGTTTTCCTCTTGCTAATGACATTTATGCACTTCTTCATCATGCAGTACAGTAGACTGTAGCAATCTCCAATGAATTCTGAGGTTATCCTTAAGTCTAAAGCTTAGTTAAACATAAATTTTAAACCTCAATATAGAACTTCTAATTATACCACTTTAGTTTCATTAAAAGCTAGTTTGAAACCTTAACTTATTTGCTGTTTTATAGATCACTAACTTTTCCTCCGAACACATCAGTTGCTAACTTTTGTTGTATTAAAAAGTTAAACCTTTTCGTAATGAAAATACTCATCGTAGCCTATAGTAAACAAATGAACAGCATGAGGTACATTAATGATTTCTTCTAAATCAGTAGAAATAAAACACATGACAAAAAATTGACTCTTGGAATTTATTTACAAGAAAGGCACTCTGTACTTTAGAAACCAAAACATTTAAGGAAAATATTTTATTCAACAAACTTCTAATTAACTGTATATATATGTTGAAATATCTTTTATTTTTCCCCAGAGGTGGAATTGAAAAGAGAATCTGTGATATAGTTCATAGTAGAGGATATGGCCAATAAAAGAATGCCTTAGGCCTCTACATCACACATTCTCTTTTCAATTTCACCTCTGGTAAAAAGAAAAGGAAATATTTAACCCATATAGATCTATGTATGTGTATATTTTTATTAAACAGTTGGTCTGCTGTATATTATTGAATAATGAAATTTCATAACATTGTTCAAATACCTAAACTTAGGTTACTATGTGATGAAGTAAAATAGACTCAAAACCTATAGATACTTCTAATTAATTGTTTTATGCTCTTATTATAGAATGTGCAAAGTAGACTTTAAACAACTGCAGAATCTGAAATATTACCTTTCAATACAGATATGTATTTTGACTACTAAAAACATTTATGTTTCCTAACTAACTCAATTACATATATATCATACATTAAATCAAAATCTTTCAACAATAACAAATCAGACTATTGATTACTACAATTAATAAGAAAGGTTTAATTATCAATACAGGAACACCAATCAGCCATGTAATCTAGTTTCTGTTCACATTAGAGAGGGAAAGCTAATTAATTAACATGTTAAAGATAATTACAGTTTATTTATTTATGCTGTAAAATCTATCTTACAAATAAATCTGTGGCTTTACGTTATTTAGTGGTATAATCTATTGGCATTTCTTTATATTTATTGATGATGTGTCTGCACATAAATACAGTTGTTATTAGATGAAAATAATCTCAATCCTCCATGTTTTCTAGTTAGTAAGTTGTAACATCAGTACTTTCCTACCAAAGGTTAATACTGGCTTTAAAAACATTTATTGTATTAAGTGTCACTGCTTTCCACTACGTATAGCTAATTAAATATTCTAGTTAAATGTTATGTTATTAACGTATATATATATTTAATGAAACAGTTGTTAAATTCACTAATTATAACCCCTTAAGAGGCAATATATATTGTGCAATCATTTTTCTTTTAAAAAGCTATTTTATAAATAAATGTGTTATAAAGTGCTCTTCACTGAAATATATAAGAGAGCCAAAAAGTATTTGTTAACTTTTTTGGAAGGGTGACCATCTAGGAATACCAGGTGATGATGGCACTATTACCTTCTTTCACCCACCTGTGGACTTATACTGCTAGAAAACAGGTTTCAATACCCGTGGTGGGCAGAGCACAGATAGCCTTTTGTGTAAAACTTTGTGCTTAATAACAAACACCAACATTGTTAATTTTTTCATCATACTAGGGTGATTTTACAAGAACAGGAGAAAGAAGAATTGCAGGAATGATGAAAGATGGCTATAACTCAGCTAGCAGGTCAGTCTCTTGATGTTAAATTATATGTCTAAGTTTCAGTAGTTCTTAGACATTTTAAAATATATTTGTATGATATTTTGATTTTGAAAAATGTTCAACTGATGAAAGATGTGAAAGCAAGGTAGAAAATTTAAAAATGATTAAGATACCCATTACCATTTTATTTTAGTTTTCAAAATCAGATTTGTAAAGTTATTTTTCTTAAGACTTTGTGCATAAATCAAGGTCAGTTGATTTATAACCTCACTCAACTATATCTACTATTTTTTTACATCACAATTATGAAGAAATTTTTAGTTTATAATTTCCTGTTAGATAAGGAGGGGGTAATATTGTAATGCTGAAATTGTGACAGTTAAAGATCAGTTGTAATTTGTGTGAAATATCCATGCAAGATTTAAGGTTGAGATATTTGATTACTTTATTCCTTTTGTAGGTACTATGTAAACAGGTTTAAAGATGCATATCGTCAGGCCACTATTGACTTAATGACAGGAAACCCTGTTAGCGATGACATCCTTTCTCTTAGTTCTGAGCGAGAAGTTGAAGATGCAGAGTTGGAACAGACAGAACAGGAACAACATGAACGTGTCAAACAGCTCATTGAAGATTGTAAAAAAATTCTCATTCCAGAAACTGAAGTGATTTTAGGAGGGTGGGCTTTGGTTGATGCTGATCCTACGTAAGTGTTTGCATATTAGAAATAAAGGTTAAGTCCACCAATATTATGAAAATTTCAAATGTAATAAATGTGATAGATGTATTTTCAGACAGTAGGCTATAGTTTTTGTGGTTTCGTGTACCATTCTTCATTCATTTGTAAATATAGAATCTTACATATATTTCCAATTAATTAAGATACATATGTAATTGTTAATATAGAAGAGAAATTAAACTCCTTTACAACTGGCAACAGATAAAACAGTACATGTAGTAGATACATATAGCTTTCTGGTTTTACCAGTTGTAAGTAAAGCCTTTTTTTCTCTGTGAAATAGAAACATTTGTTATGCAAAGTACCTGAATAATCTAAAACACACACACACACACAAATGCATTCATAAATAAAGAATGGGGGCATCCATATTGAGTATTCAGTTACATAAATGTCTACACAGTAAACATACTTTGAAAGCAAACAAACTATGGTGGGAATGTGATAATATTTTAGTCCCATGTCTATCTCATTCAGTAGATTTTAAGAAATTACTTTAATGTTCACATCTTTATTCAAGCATAGCAAATGGAAATACAGTTATGTCACTATTATTTGTAACTTGTACATTTGCATTTTTTAGGAGTGGAGATCCAGATCAAGAAGATATGGATACAATACTTGTATTGACTAAAGAGTCCTACTTTGCAGCAGAGTAAGCCAAACATTATTTTCATCTCTAAGAAACTTTCAGTGCTTGTGTACAGTCTATTAAGTATTGGTATAGACTTTCAAATACAAAATTATTAATTTAAAATTCTTGCAAATATATTGAATTTGAATGACTTATTGTAACACTGTAAAACTTGTTTGTTCAACTTCCTTATCCTGATCTGAGAATTATCAGCTTTAAACAGTAATAGGTTGATGATATAGAATGTTATTCAAAAGAACTGTGTATGTTTGAAGATTGATAGAAACCTATTATATTTTTTTATATTGTATACTTTTGTAATCTTTATTTTTTTTAAATGCTAAAGTATATCATTTCATTATCTTGTGGTGGTGAAAAATAAGTGTTTTAGTAGTAGAAAATCGTAACAGGCAAAACGTTTGAAAAATATTATTATTATCATTATTTTTTTACAGAATAAGCAAGATTTTATAATTACAGGGGAACTGCAACTTAGGTTGTTTACTAAATAGTTTTGTGGCACATATGTTATTCTCATAATATATTATTGTGTTTTACATACAGGGGAATTGCACCCTAAATATAGTTAGCTTTTAATCAAAATATTATTTAGTAAATAATTTCATGGCACATATGTTGTTCTCATAATACAATATTGTGTTTTACTAAGATGGCACTTAAAAGTCTTGTAAGAAGAAGCATTATAATGGGTTAGTGTGGTAAGACTGTGAGTCTCAGGGTTAATGGTTTGTGGCCTGCTACAAATTGCACTCTGAACACTTGGGCCATGGACGTGCTGTGAGAATGAGATTCAAATCCCAGTATTTTGTCAGACAAGAGTTGCAGTGGTTACTGTTGACTAGTTGCTATCACTCTAGTGTATCAGTCAAAATTAAGGAAAGTTATGAACAGCTAGCTCTTTGATTAGCTTTGGGCTAAATTTCTGAAACAAACAAAGAAGCACTAGGCAGTTGCTACTGCTGTAGCAGCCTTCTCTTTCATGCAAGGATATTTGGTGTATTTGAGCTGAAAGTAACTTGTGCATTGTACATGTTGTTTACTGTTCATCCCTGTATAATGTTGGTTTCAAAGTATTACGTTCCTATAAGCAATATTGATATATTCATAAAACAAGTACAATTTTCAACCATAAAATGCTAGTGTTAATTTAGACAAGCAATAAAATGCTTCAAGTTTTCTGAAGAAGTTATGAAGTTAATGCAAGACTCTGATTGGGTGAATATATATATATATATATATATATATATTTAAAGAAGTGATTACAATAGTTGTCATGTCATTGATAAAGCACACATCAGTCTTTCCCAGCTGTATGTCTTCATGCTGATGTATTTTAACCATTGTGGCAGTTTTACATAAGGGGTGATGCATTCTACAAAACTATTTGGTTTTTATTTATGATAAGTAACAAATTATTTATGGAAAATATAATAAAAATTCCTTGATCCTGGTACTGGTTATGTTAGTGTTAAAGAAGTAAATGAAAGAAGACTTGTAGTTATTTTGTTATAGAAGATAAAGAAGAAAAAAGTGCTGGAATAAATGTTTTATTAAAAATAGTCATTAAATTTCTTTCCATTTGTATTGTGTATTTCTTTGCAATATAAATTGTAACAATGTTTTGAGAATAGTAGTGAAATGTAAGTCTTGCCATATTACCAAAACTTCATAAACAATATATTCCCTCATTTGATTGTTTGAAAAGACTGTGTGGTTTATAAGTTATTGCTTTATTTTTTGGGGGTTTGACTCTTATGAAAATTAATCATTAGATTCCATTGGGGAGAAGGGTTAGCACAGGTCAGATAAATCCTGGAATGTCATGGAAATCCTGAAAGAAACGGCTGTTTTTGAAGTCATGTTCCTGGAAAAATACTGAATTTTCAGATTAAATAAAAAACAACCCATGAAGTATTTGGCTTAATAAAAAAAATTAGTTTGATTATCAGGTTTGTTTATATTTATCTTTGGTGATTGTGAATCTCATACCTTGTGAGATCCAAGATTGTTAGTCTCCATTGGCTAACAAATTTCATTCTGTGTCTGAAGATTCAAAAGTTGGGAAACTTTGAGTATGGGTCCTGGAAAAAAATCCTTGAGGGTCTAGGAATATTCTTTTGCAAACTCAGTACAAACTCATCCAAATGGTGGGGAAAAAAAATTTACAAAGGCCTTAAGAGTAAATTAAAACAAAGAGTTTCTCTTTATTTTAATCATTGTTTAAATTTACAAAAAAAGTATTCTATGTATATACTCAGAATTTTTATTTTTGCATTATTGTACCAGTATTGTGATATGATCATTATTCAAGTAAAATAATAAAGAGTACATGAATAAACATCATAACTCATTGAACCAAAATTATTAACATATCTTTGAGTATTTTAATTCACATAATAAAATATTTTTATTTATGTGTTTGTAGGACAACAAAAGGTGTATCTACATTAACCTCACGAGATACTATTTATTGCCTTTAACCCTCTACTTACAGATAGTCAGAATGTGCATGTCATGACCTTTAAAACAGGTTACATTCAAAATTTAATTAAACTACTTTATTATCAATGTATACAAATAAACTTGGCATCAAAACATAGTTAATAAATCAAATTTTAATATTTCAAGTTCTTAATTTTATGAAGGAATATTTAAAAAAATCCTCAATCTTCCTTAGTATGAGAACTGTGACATTTGCTCTCTGTCTTCTTTTCTACTCTGATTTATTTAAAAAAATCCTCAATCTTCCTTAGTATGAGAACTGTGACATTTGCTCTCTGTCTTCTCTTCTACTCTGATTTATTTAAAAAAATCCTCAATTTTCCTTAGTATGAGAACTGTGACATTTGCTCTCTGTCTTCTCTTCTACTCTAATTCATTTAAAAAAATCCTCAATTTTCCTTAGTATGAGAACTGTGACATTTGCTCTCTGTCTTCTCTTCTACTCTAATTTATTTAAAAAAATCCTCAATTTTCCTTAGTATGAGAACTGTGACATTAGCTCTCTGTCTTCTCTTCTACTCTAATTTATTTAAAA